GTGGGCTGCATTGAACTGACTCAAGTCTGCCAAAACCTTGGAAAGCAAGGTCTGCGATGTGGGATGTGGTGGTGGGCGGGGGCGTCCCTCTGAGGATGCAGCCATGCCTGGGAATGAGGTTCTGGCTACAGACACCGGGGACTGGAAGGCAGATGTTACCAGCTCTTCAGGAGAGCTGGCTAATGAGGACACGGAGCCCTCAGGCACAGCCTTGGACAGGAGAGAGTAAGACAGGAAGAGTCTCCCCTGCGAACCACAGGAAGATGGGTATAAAAAGTCTGAGGACAGGTGGCCAGGCCAGCATCAAGGGTATGGATGCAGTGAGGTGGGTGCCTGTTACCACAGCAACACAGGTAGCCTTGCCAAAGATCAATGCTGATGGTGTGCAGTGTGGCCTGCAAGGGACATTACGGTCTTGATGATGTAGGCAGAGTCTTCTCTTCCAGGGTTCTGTGTCCTGCGAAGCCTGGGCTTTATCCCCAGCCATGACTCTGCCCCCAGAGTGGCTCTGGCCTGTTGAAAGCCCCCATTACAATGGTCTCTCCCCCTTTCACATGCTGACGCTTTGATAAGAGTTCCTGGTTCAGGCAGTTACCTGAGGGTCCAGAAGCCTGGCTGGGACAAGATTGGAGCTACTTTTTTAGCTGTAACTTTGTTTCTGGCTGGCTAAGTGACCTTGGCTAAATCTTTTCCTTCTTGGCCTGTTTCACCTCAGAAAAATCGATATAAACTGGTTCTTAAAGATGGTACTGCCATGTCAGGTGGGTCAAGAATCTGTCATGTGCGCCTTCTCAATTTGCTAAATGCCATTGGCAACCTCGAGCCATGGTGACAACCTCAAATATCCTTACACCGCTTTCCAGTGTTCCCTAGGTTGGCACTTCTACTTCTGATATGCTAACTGGCGAGGCATGGGAGACAGCCATTGGAGACGGGGACCACAAGGGACCATTTTGGTGGTAGTTATGTGGGACAGAGTGGAAGAGACAGGTTGGGCATAGGTAGTGAATGGGACTCTGGTGGAGGGGCCGCAATATGGTCATTGACTATCTAGAAAGTGACAAGAAGTGAGAGTGGGAACTTGCTGGCGAGCGCCGGTAGAATGGTGGTAAAGGCCAGAAGCAAGCATTTTCTGAAGGAACGAGGTCACTGTGTGGGACAGGAACTTTCAGCACCATGGATAGCAGAACGAGGCCCCTCCCCACTCCCCGCTATCTACGTAGGTGCCCCACCTTGGAGAGCTCCTAAGCCCCAGTCCTCTCGCCCTGCCTTCAGCGCACTGCCCTGGGCCCAGCCCAAGAAGGTCGCACTAATTTATGACCCTCTTCAAGGCCCAGCATCAGCCTTAGATCCTCCAGGTGCTTTCACTGCTCCAGCCCCTGAGGGTTCTACCGCTGACCTCCCCTACTTCACGCTAGGTCAGGATTGTTCTCTCACTGACCCCTGTAAAGGGGTCACACTTTCCCAGCTGGCCTAAGGGGGCAAAGCCCCTCTGGTCCTTTCTGAAGGGCTACACAGAGCTGAGTACACAGGGGCTTGGGAGGCACCGAGGTGATGCTGTTGTCTAGGTGACTGGGGAACTCTGAATGAGGAGGAGAACCTCAGAGTGAGCCAAGAGGACAGCTGCCCCCTGGAGTGCCCAGGTCCCACCAAGCTGCACGGCAAATGCAAACGGGCACACATGCGGGAGACGTCTAGCGTCTCACACTCATGCCACAGGTAGGCTGAGTCCCGCCGCCAGAACCGCTGACACTGTAAGTCCAACCCCACCTGGGAGAGGGTGTCTATCTAAAGTAGC